TGCAAGCTCCGCCTCCTGGGTTCACGCCATTCTCCTGATTCAGCCTCCTGAGTAGCTGGGACTACAGGTGTCCGCCACCAAGCCCAGCTAATTTTTAGTATTTTTAGCAGAGACGGGAATTTCACTGTGTTAGCCAGGATGGTCTCAATCTCCTGACCTTGTGATCTGCCCGCCTCAGCCTCCCAAAGTGCTGGGATTATAGGCGTGAGCCACCATGCCTGGCCGATATTTTTTGAAGGTTGTTTAAACAATAACATTACCACTACTTAAATTTGGATAGTGACAAAAAATCTTTCTCCTTTTTGTATTTAGAAATATCTTATTTCACAGAAAAATCTGCATATCATAAAATTTGTTGAGGTGTGAAAAACGTTTATTGTATCGCTCTATATGAATGATGGATTTTGTATATTCTTAGGTCTGGAGAAAATGATGTGGAATATAACAACATGGAATTAGAAGAGGGAGAACTCATGGAAGATGCAGCTGCAGGACCTGCAGGTAATGAGGTCACCCACTGCCTCCAAGCCATTCTATTTTCTCCTTGCTCTTCTCTGACCGTATTATATTTTAAATAGGTGGTAGCCACTGCTTGTACATGGTTCGTGGTGTTGGAAGTGCTACATCTTGTAATACGGATTTTTTAGAGTTCATTACTAAAGATACTTAATAATAATAGCTACCATTTAAAAAATGTTCTTATGTACCAGGCACTGTGAGAAGCACTTTATATGCCTTATATTAATAAAATTCTGGTGGTACATTCACTGATGGATAGAGAAATTACAGCAACTTGCCAACTTTTAGCAATTTAGTAAATGAGAGTAATTGAATCCCCAGTTTTGTCTGTATCCCATGCTTATATTTTATACTGTTTTCTGATATAAAGTCTTATTTGTATATCTTCCTGGACTGTAGAATGATCTCAATGGAATAATTGACTCTTAGACTTACAAAGGATCTTAAAGAGCTCATTTTATGGTTTTTAGTTGCCTGGTCATATAGCTGGTTGTTAGTACAACCAGACTAGAACTCCAGATTGTCCTGGGTTTGTGGACCCAGCATTTTTCTCCCAAACTACACTGCTTCTCCTGGGAAGAACTGACTTATATAATGAGTACTTTTTTTGTGTATTCTCGGATCTACTTAATTAAGTAGTGAATCTTGGCTAGAGTAATTAAAAGTTAGCTTTCTACTGTTTCTGTTTTACCCATGTTCTCCTCAGTGTGAACACTGGCATATTCTTCCTTTTTTTTTTTTTGAGACGGAGTCTCGCTCTGTTGCCCAGGCTGGAGTACAGTGGTGCGATCTTGGCTCACTGCAAGCTCCGCCTCCCAGGCTCACGCCGTTCTCCTGCCTCAGCCTCCGGAGTAGCTAGGACTACAGGCACCCGCCACCACGCCCGGAGAACTTTTTGTATTTTTAGTGAAGACGGGGTTTCACTGTGTTAGCCAGGATGGTCTCGATCTCCTGACCTCATGATCCGCCCGCCTTGGCCTCCCAAAGTGCTGGGATTACAGGCGTGAGCCACTGCGCCTGGCCAACACTGGCATACTCTTAATATGCTTGGATAACTAAAGACTTCTAAATACTAGTCCTCACCATTTCAACTCCAACCTAAGCCCTATATTCTTTCTACTTCTGACTTTAATCCTGGGTAATCGTATCCACACCTGTATTTCAGTTACTATCTATATACTGATTACTCTTCAAGTTCTTTCTTTAGCCTTTGACTTTCCAGTAATTTCCAAACCCTTATCTTGGTGTGACTCAGCACCTCCCAAACACAAATTACTGTCTTTTCATCTGCCAGCTTGCCTGTCAGCAGTAGCTACCCTGATTGATAGTGCTATACATTCTTTACTTCTTCCTCTCCCTAAAAGTTTACCTTTAGTGTATTACCAAGATCTGTTGGTTCTGTCTCCTAAATCGTGCGTAAATTCATTTGATACTCCCACTCCTTTGCCATTCCTAGTCTAGGCCTCTGTCTTTCACAACAGCCTTTCACCTGGGTTCTTTGTATTTATTATTGTTCCCCTCCATTTTTATAGCATGAATCCATTTTTACAGCATGGATTCAGAATGAGGGTGTTTTTTTCTTTCTGATTAATATCTAATCGTGTTACTTCTCTGCCAGGCTTGGTGACTCACACCTGTAATCTCAGCACTTCGGGAGGCTGATGTGGGTGCATTGCTTGAGTCCAGGAGTTTGAGACCAGCCTGGGCAACGTGGTGAAACCCTGTCTCTACAAAAAATACAAAAAAAGTTAGCCAGATGTGGTGGCAAAATTGCTGCCTGTGGTCCCAGGTATTTGGGTGGCTGAGGTGGGAGGATCACCTGAGCCAGAAAGCGGAGCCTGCAGTAAGCTGAGATAGCACCACTGTACTCCAGCCTAGGCAACAAAGTGAGACCCTGTCTCAAAAAAAGAAATAAAAATAATGAAAAATAATATCTAATCATGTTATTTCTCTACTTAAAAACTCTTTAAGGATTATATTTATTATAGGATAAAGCCCAAACTTGTTAACATGGCAGATAAATTCCTTTATGTCTGGATTCCTGTTTGTTTCCTTAGTCTTACTTCTCTCATTCCTCTGTGTCATTCTTTAGTCAGGAGGAACTTCAAAGAATCACAAGATCTACAAATTTAGAGAGAAAACTTTAATTCTTATAAAGACTGGCCATCCTGACAAGCTGTGAAGTATAGCCTCTGGTAAAGACTAAAAGCAGGCACTTTGCAGGAGGGAAGGGTAACATAGGAATTGATAATGAATAAGTTGGCCAAGTACAACTAAATGGATTCAACAGGGTATAGGAGGAGCTATGAATATCATGAAGAGGGGAACACATGCATGCGTAGTAGACAAACATGCATGTTACATGCATTTCATGTTTACTTTGGACTGGGGACTGAACAGTTAAATGCATTACAATTAGGCCCTGTTGTCAAAAGGTAAAACCAACGACACAAAGGCACTCAATGCTCAACCTCTGTATACGGGCCAGAACCAGTCCATGGTTGGGGACTCTTTAACAGGAGAAAGTTACTGAAATCAGTCTTTTGTCCAATGAAAGCTCTGTAGTTATGGCTTGTAGAACGGGGAGTGAGTCAGTCAGCATCTGGCAGTCAGTAAGCTGCAATTGTTTCAATATTGCTTATCTTGAGGCCAGTGCTTGCTTAGCTTCTAGAAAAAAGAAGAAACCCTGTTTGGAGTTAGAATGTAGTTTATTCTTTAAGTATAGGGAGCATGTGACTTAATCCCTGTCTGGCATAGCATTAAGTCTTACTGACTGACTGACTTTTCAGCTTTGTGTGTTTTCTTTTAGTTAGGTCCATTCTTTCCTCTCTTAAACTGTGTGGTAGGGAAATTCTTGTATATAACATTTATATACACTTAGGGTAAAGAAGAGTTTACATTTTTGAATTATATATTCATCAAATATTTACTGAGCACTTGAACTGTGTACAGTTTTACTATCTAGAGATACAATATTGAATAACAAGATATTCTTGTTCTTATGGAACCTGTGTTATAATTCTGAATGTTCTTTAATAATTCAGGCACTGAATTCTAGATGTTGAAGACATAATAATGAACCAGTTTATTTTTATTATATGCTTTGGGAAATTTATATATTTGGCACAAATTTGTTAACTATCATGCCTACTTGGAAAATACACACTAAGTAATTTATAACATAAAGGTGAGTGGATTTATGAACAATTAGCTAGAATATGACAGTATACATACAAAAGAATTCCAAATTATTTAAATACTCCCTCCTCAAGGAGATGAAATATAACTTCTACTCCTTAATTGTAGGCTATGCTTAGTTACTTGCTTCTGAAGAGTACAGTTTCAAAAGGGGGGAAACAACTTCAAAGTAGAGAAACTTGGCAAACATTACCTACCCAGGTGATTAAATTTAGTATTGTAAGTGATAGGTCATGTTGATAGCATGTTGATAGTATTTTAAGTGATAAGTCATGTTGATATGTTGAGAATGGTACTTTATATCTGTAGTATCTTCCCTCTCTAAAAACCCACAGACAATCTAATCATGAGGGAAAAAGTCATACCCTTAATTGAGGAACATTCTACAAAATATTTGACATACTTTTCAGATATAAAGAAAATCTGAGAGACTGTCATAGACCAGAAGAGTCTAAAAAGACAGGAGCAACTAAATGTATTTCAATACTCTAGGTGAGACTCTGAACAGAAAAAGAACATTAGGGGAAAACTACTAAAATCTCAATAGGATTTAGTTAATAATATATCAGTATTGGTTCATTAGTTGTGACAAATATACCATAGTAATGAAAGGTATTAACATTGGAGAAATTGGGTCTGGGTTTTACACGAACTGTCTGTATTTTTACCTTTCCTGTAAACCTAAAACTATACTAAAATAAAAGCTTTTTTTTTTCTTTTGAGATGGCATCTCGCTCCGTAGCCCAGGCTGGAGTGCAGTGGCATGATCTTGGCTCAATGCAAGCTCTGCCTCCTGGGTTCACACCATTCTGCTGCCTCAGCCTCCCGAGTAGCTGGGACTACAGGCGCACGCCACGACGCCTAGCTAATTTTTTGTATTTTTAGCAGAGACGGGGTTTCACTGTGTCAGCCAGGATAGTCTTGATCTCCTGACCTCGTGATCTGCCCTCCTTGACCTTCCAAAGTACTGGGATTACAGGCGTGAGCCACCACGCCCGGCCAATAAAAAGCTTTTTAAACTAAGGCAATGAAAAAGCTAGATCGGGGTGACAGTGGGCAGAGTGTGGAAATGCTTTTTTGGTTTTTTTTTTGGTTTTGGTTTTGGTTTTTTTTGAGACGGAATCTCGCTCTGTCGCCCAGGCTGGAGTGCAGTGGCCTGATCTCAGCTCACTGCAAGCTCCGCCTCCCGGGTTTATGCCATTTTCCTGCCTCAGCCTCCCGAGTAGCTGGGACTACAGGCACCCGCCACCTCGCCCGGCTAGTTTTTTGTATTTTTTTAGTAGAGACGGGGTTTCACCGTGTTAGCCAGGATGGTCTCGATCTCCTGACCTCTGATGATCCGCCTGCCTCGGCATCCCAAAGTGCTGGGATTACAGGCTTGAGCCACCGCGCCCGGCCAACATAAATTATCTTTCACTTAAATTCAAATAACTGAATAAACTAAAAGCAGTTCTCATAAGAAGACGTCTGCAGATGCCACCACACCCAACTAATTATTTTTTGTAGAGACGGAGTCTTTCTCTCTTGCCCTGGCTGGTCTCCAACTTCTGGCCTCAATCCTCCTGCCTCAGCCTCCCAAAGTGTTGGGATTACAGGCGTGAGCTATTGCACCTGGCCCACAGATGTTAGAAAAATGAATGAGCATAATTTTTAAATGAAAATCCAGCACTGATCATTACAAGATTTTGTGATTGTAAATATCAGTATGTAATTTATAACAAAATAAAGGATGTGAAGATGTAGAATATTCTGGAAAGGTAGTTGAGGACTAGACTGTAATAGGGCCTTGAGTGTCATGATAATGCATACAGGCAGTATGCTGTAATGAACTCAAGTATATCAGTGTGACATTTTAGCAAGATTCATATCGCTTGGCACAAATGGAGAAGAACCTGTCACTGATCCGTTTGTCTTTTTATGAGGTTTTTTTGTTTCCTATGTGAACTTCAGAAGCATAGTTTTTTGTTTTTTTTTTTTGAATCTCACTCTGTCGCCCAAGCTAGAATGCAGTGGCGTGATCTCAGCTCACTGCAACCTCTGCCTCCCTGGTTCAAGCAGTTCTACCCCAGCCTCCCAAGTAACTGGGATTACAGGCGCCCTCCACCACGGCTGGCTAATTTTTGTATTTTTAGTAGAGATGGGGTTTCACCATCGTGGCCAGGCTGGTCTTGAACTCCTGACCTCGTGATCCACCTGCCTCAGCCTCTGAAAGTGCTGGGATTACAGGCGTGAGCCACTGTGCCTGGCTGCATTGCTTTATTCTTAATAGCCAAAAACTAGAAGCAACCCAAATTGTTTTCCAATAGAATAGAGAAATAAATTGGATATATTCATAAACTGATGCTGCACAGTAATAATGAAAATGAGGCAGTGGCTCGTGCCTGTAATCCCAGCACTTTGGGAGGCTGAGTCATGTGGGTCACTTGAGGCCAGGAGTTCAAGACCAGCCTGGCCAATATGGCAAAACCTGATTTCTACTAAAAATAGAAAAAATTAGCTGGGTGAAATGACGCATGCCTGTAATCGCAGCTACTCGGGAGGCTGAGGCATAAGAATCATTTGAACCTGGGAGGTGGAAGTTGTGGTGAGCCAAGATTGCACTACTGTATTCCAGCCTGGGTGACAAAGCAAGACTCTGTCTCAAAAAAAAGAAAAAGAAAAATATTTAAAAAGAATATTAAAAAAAAATTTTTTTTAAAGAAAATGAATAAGCTACTCCTATATACAGCCATATAGATGAATCTCATGAATAATGTTGACCAAAGAAGAAGAGCATAAGAGCATACTCTGTTACTTTTACATAAATACAAACAGGCAAAACCAATCTGTAATTTAAGTTAGAATGACGATTACTTTTGTAGAGTAGGAGTAGTGAGCAATTTTAGGAGGCATAGGAGGGGGTTCTGGGGTACTGATGATCTATTTCTTCATCTGGGTGTGATCACTTTATGAGTATTCATTG